ACAGATCTTTGCTGTCTCCGCAGTGGAGGAGAAAGTCAGACCTTTCAACTCTGAGGTACAAAAGGGAAAAACCAACTTTACTTCTGTTTTGGCTTTTTCTTTTCTTTTTTCCTTTGGTACCGGGAATGGAACTTGGGTCCTTGTGCATGTGTGGCAGGCAGCAGAACCACTGAGCCAAATCCCTGGCCCTATTTCTGATTACAACTGGAACTGAATTCAGCTCAGTTCTCCAGGCCCTCTTAGTCCTCCCAATTCAGGAAACTCGGCTGGTGGAACAGGCATCTTTCCAGGTCAGTGTAGATATTACTTTATCACTGTCCAGTGCCAAGGGTCGCTTTAAGAAAAGCATTCTGCAGTCGGGGTTTATTCCCTTCCCCTGCTTCTGTCTTTCTTTCCAGCTGCCCTTTGGGCACAGGGCAAAGCTTGCACAGGAAGGTGGGTTTGGTTTCCCCAGGAAGGACACTGCTTCTGCTGCTGACACAACTGAGTACTTCGCCATCACTGTGCCTAGAATCCTCGCCTCTTCATCCCTCAACTGCTCTCTGTTCCTCTTTCGGTCTGTAAAAAACCCTCCTTAGAGCACATCTCCCTTCTCATGTCAGCAAATTTTCCTCTGCACCAGTTTCTTCCTCTCCTCCCCAACAGCATAAGCTTCATGGCCTGACCTTCACTGTGAAATACTGCAGAGGAGGGCATGTTGGGGGAGCAAAGGAAAATGACTGTGAGGGACAGTGCGTTGGAAAGGTTTGCACTATTGTAACAAAATACCTGAGGCTGCTACCTTTAAAAAAAAAAAGGTTTATTTTAATTCACAATACAGGAGGTTCAAAGTCCAAAACGGAACAAAGAAAGGAGAATGCCACTGGTGTGACCTCGTGAAGGTCGGTGGGGGCACAGCACGATGGGGGCAAATGATCACATCTCAGGCCAGAGCAGACAGAGGACAGGCAGGGCCAGTCTTGCTCCTTTTATAACAATCCTCTCATGTGCCAATGGGTGGCAATGGCCTGCCTTGTGCTCCGTGGCCTAAGGACCTCTCCCTGGGTTCCACCTCCCAAATGTTCCAGTACCACCCAAAAGTGCCACCCTCGGGACTGGCCTCTACTTATGGACCTTTGTGGGCCACTCAGTATCCAAACCACAGCAGGAAACACCCCAGAAGTATCTTAACCACCATCCTGATTACAGTTATCTGTTTGTTGGCTCCGTGCATTGACAAAATAGAGACTTCTTGCGGGGTGAGGACCCTGTCCTCTTCACAGAGGACAGTGCCTAGTCACGGTGGGAGCTCCGTAAGTGCTGTGGAATAAGTCAACAATGGCGTGAAGAGGGTAGATCTGATTTGTGTATGGGTAATGGGTGAAAGAAGACTGAATGTGGGCTGTGACGGTGTTGGCCTGGACCAGGTTGAGGAGTAAGACGGTGAAGATGACAGGACCGTCAGGGAGCTGCTGAGTTATTAAGAAAAAAACAGACAAGGCAAACTTCACCAAAACTGAAATTTGTACATTAAAAAAAATGCTATTAAAGAGTGAAAAGATAATCTACAGAATGAGAGAAAAGATTTTCAAGTTATACATCTGATAAGGGAGTGATATCCAGAATATTTTTTGAAAACTCTTAAAACTGAACAACAGAAAACATCCTACTTAGTGCCAGGGGTAAAGCCCCATTGTAGAGCACTTTCCTACCATGGGTGAGACCCTGTGTTCAATCCCAAACATTGCAAAAAAGAAAAAAAAAGGGGCTAGTTAAAAAATGGGCAAAGGACTTGAAAAGGTAATTTCTCTACACATAACATTCAAATGGTAAATAAGCACACCCAAAAAATGTTCAGTATAAAAAAATTAGAGAAATATGAGTCCAAACTACAACGAGACACCACTTTACACCAATTAGGATATCTATTATGAAACAACAACAGCGACAACAACAAAAACACAAAGCAAGTGTTGGCAAGGATGTGGAGAAACTGGGACCCTTGTGCACAGCTAACGGCCCAGCTGCTGTGGAAATCAGTGCGGCAGGTCCTCAAACAACTAAACATAGAATTATCATTTGATACAGCAATTCCACTCCTAGAATTAAGTTCCCAAAAGAATTGAAAGCCAGGCCTCAGATAAGTCTGTGTACACCCATGCTCACGGCAGCCCAAAGGCGAAAACAACCCAGTGTATTCCACGGGTGAAAGGCCCGCGTTCTGAAGATGGGTAGCGGTGGACGGCCGTGATGGTTGCACGACCGCGTAGCAGTTCTTAATGTCACAGGGCTGTGTGCTTATAAATGGTTAAGATGGTAAGTTTTATATTATATATAATTTATCACAATAAAAGACAGGGAGTAAGGGAAAGAGGGAGCGAGGGAAGGAAGGGAGGAAGGGAAAGGGAGGTAAGGAAAGGGAGGGCCAATCAAGAGGACTTTAATTGACTGGCTGCGAGGTAAAAGAGAAGGAAAAGCCATATTTTTGGCTCAAGTGACTGGGTAGAAGTTGGAGCCATCTGCTGAAAAAAGAATCTCCCAGGAGCATTCAGGTTCCGGGTTAAGGGTGAGGAGTTCCGCTGTGAGGGACCGTGGGGCTCCCACGCAGTGATGTGTGGAGGCCGCGGACGTGGCGCTAAAGTCCTAAGGAGACAGACTGAGAGGTCTTCCATGTCTATAGGGGAGCTGAAACGCGGGCCTGAGGTCATGGAAGGAGAGCAAAAAGAGTGAGCAGAGAACCATGGCCAAGTCTGGAACCCTGGAAAACAGCAGTGCACTCTCACCCTATTCACCCGCCTCTGCCTGGAAAATGTCTCCTTACTCACCAAGGCCTCCTGGAGGTCAAGGGCGGGTTCTAGCCACCTGGGGTCTCTGGTGCCTAGCAGAGTTCAGCGCTTTGTTGAATGACGGAAGTGGCATTTTCTCTGAGGCTTGTGACATAATCTGCTTTTTCTCCCCCTTTGGAAGATAAGAAGCTGTTTGACCAGCCAGACTCGAGAGTGCCCTTCCTGAGGAGCAAGGCCCAAGTCCCATGGCTTGGCTCTCAATGTTCTCTGTGGAAAATGTCCACTGTCTATTAAAATTCTAGCTTTCCTTCAAGATTCACAGCTCATTCCTAATCACCTCCTCCCAATTTCTTGGAAGCGAGAGCCTTGATTATTTTTGTGACATTTTTTTCATCGCGCTCTTTTTTTATGTTGATGTAGAATCTCCCGCACTGGGTTCCAGAGTTCTTACAAATATTCACTTGCCCTAGTGCCTTGAGCAGGGAAGGTGGGAGATTCGCTTCCCTGAATGATGAATGATGAGGGCCAGAGATTTAGCCCAGCGGCACCGCACCCTGCCTTGCCATCGCAAGGCCCTGAGTTCGATCCCTGGTACCGGAAAAAAAAGAAAAATGAAAAATGATGAGCAGCACCTGGCCTTTCAGTTAAGCTGGAAGGGGGCAAGTGTGATGAGATCTCTGATAGAGACCTTTGTACCCATTAGCTGTCATTGTGTAACACGTCCACATCTCACTACCTTCAAACAATGGTCATGTGTTAACATCTTACCTTTTGGGGAGTAGGCTGATCAAGGCTGGGTTTGAACAATGATGAGGGTTCTGATGGGGGCCCTTGCCTAGGCCCACATGGCTCTCATTCTCTTTCTGGGACCAGCAAGCTAGCCCAGAACATTCTTCCCATGGTAGTAGCAGGGCCTCTAGAAAATCATTCAAACGGAATCAAGTGAGCCCTTTTTAAAGACCCTGCTGTGCCACGTGTCTGTTATTAACTTGTTGCCTGGGAGGCAGGAATTTCCTGTTTGTCCTGGGGGGCAGACTCACATGGCACCAGGTGTAGCTACAGGGAGGAAGGAAGAATTGGGACCTATAAGCCAGGCATAGTGCTGCACACCTGTGAACCAGCACCCTGGGAGGCTGAGGCAGGAAGATCGTAAGTTCAAGCCTAGCCTGGGCTAATTAGCAATTTAGTGATACCCTGTCTTAAAATAAAAAACAAAAAAGGGCTCTGGGTGTAGCTTAGTGTGAAAGCCCTGGGTTCAGACCCCAGTACTGGGAAAAAAAAACACAAAACAAAAACTATCACTCACAGTCTTCTTCAAGTCTTGCTTTCCGTGGGCCAAATGAATGAGATATTTGCTCCCTGCCGTTTTCCTCTGCCACCCCGGGCGCGCCTGTCCCGTTCATCCAGGTCTCAGCAGATGTCCCTAAACGTCTCCAGTGCAGTAGGACGGCACGTTCCTGTCCACCATCTCCATTCTCTGACTTCCTCTGCACATTTTTTGAGCCTTGGCCTCCCCCGCTCACTGTTGCTCGTGGGCTACATTTACAATTCCTAGTTACAAAGCTACAGTGGCTGACTTCACCTCAGAAGACTTGGATTCCATATGCTCTTTCCCTGCTCCAACACCTACAGCGAGTTTCTGGAACTCCTGCAGCAATGCCGGTGCATTGCTTTGAATCTCTCGAAGGTGACAAATCTTTGCCTCGTTAGGGTGGATGGAATTTTGGGAAACAGCTAACAGTCATTTGGATCCAAAGCTGGTGACTAAGGTGGGTGATCAAGCTGGGTCATCCTGGGGACAAAAACGAAATGTGGTTCAGAAGAAACAAGCCCCAGGCTTTTCCACAGTTTTAAAGTTGTCCCCGAAGACACCTCGCAGGAGCCGCAGAAGGAAGCCGAGACAATGTCTTCTGAGCAGTCAAGCCCTCCCAAGGTGAGCGCTGTGACCCAGCCTGTACAGCACTGTGAGGACATTCTGGCCTCCGTGGCTTTAGCTGAGGTTCTTAGTCTTTTGTGTCCTTTGAGAAGCCAATGAAAGCACTAGCTCCAGAAAGAGGCTCCTGAGCTCATAATCTGCATATGATTTGGGGCTAAGGATTTCTGTGTGGAAGGACCCACACCCCAAACTGAAGGCACTGGAGCAACAAGTATGGACTCCTCAGTTTTCTCAGTGTCGGCCCACCCGAACCACGATGAGCCCAGCTCGCGGCAGGGACCTCACAGTTCTCCGGAATTCTAACTGAGCTCCGAGATGACCCGTGTGGACCAGATCCCTGGGCCGGGTCCGCCCAGGCCCCCTCAGCACGGCGGGGCCATCTCAACAAGGCTCTTGCTGGGGAAGAAGCAGGACAGAACCTGGGACTCCAGTCACACTCCGGGGCCCAGGCTTGCCACGATCTTTACTTTGGGCGCCCAAGGACCAGGCCAGACCGGCTCAAAGATCCGAGTGCCTCTCCTTTCAGCACCGGGGTCCCTTCCCCACCAACCCTGTCTGCTCTCGGCCGCTGCCCAGGGCACAGGCGTGGGAAGCGGCTATGAGGCCGCGCGGCCACAAGAGGGAGCAAGGACACGGAGTCTGGCAGCGCGGGTGTCTCCCGCCTTCATCTCCCCAGCACCCACGCAGGACGGGATCGCGGCGCTGGGTGCGCTGTGGAGGTGGCGGGTGAGTGAGACGGGTGAGGCGGGCGGTGCACAGTTCAGGTGCGTCACACGCTGAGCAGCTTCGACCGCAGCCACCTGCCTCTGTGCAGGCGGGGACGGGGGCAGAGGGCCCAGGACACCCTGGGCGCCAGGGGTGACCACCCCAATGCCTCTGAGCTCATCGCAAGCTTTTGTCAAGCTCTACTTTGTCTCCTCTTAACTTTTTGTCTTCTCTACGGTAAAAGCAACCCAAGCTCAAAGGGGAAATGAGAAAATGCGGACAGGAAAGGACACCTGTGCCCACCCCTTCTCAAAGCGCCCCATATCCTCCTTCCTGGGGCCCTCATAGATTAGTTAATGAGCAACAGGGAGCCCTTCGGCAGAATGGGAGTGCGTTTGTCTGAGCACCGCATGTAGCTCCAGGGAGACACCCCCAGGTTGCCAACCACCGTCAACCAGAGGAAGAAGGAAGCACACCGGGCGGAAGGGAGGGGAGAGGAGGAAGTGCACCGCCTCTGTGACACCTTGGTCCGGGCGTCTTAATCAGTGCAGGCACAAAGTGGCTGCAATCACTCCTCCTGACACCTGAGGATAAAGGGATTTTCCCTGGGCCTCACAGTGGGAGCATGGAGCCCAGATCTGAAGTGATAACTGTCTCGCAGCAGAAACTGCAGCCTTTCCTACCCCCGGGGCCTCCCAGGGCAGAGGACACAGACCTGTCCCCATCCCACTCCCCACCAGTACCCCACACATCATGGAGCTTCCAGGACGGCCCCAAGGTCACAGCTCTGCCCCTGAGCCAGACCTGGGAGGAAGATGCTCAGACACTGCAGGACCTCAGTGCCTCTGGAGAATGGGCCACAAGGGGCCCATCAGCTCCCCCAGAAAGGGGCCCTCTGCCACTCTGCTTGGGGCACAGACAGCTGTAAGAACAGCACAGCCCCCTCTGTTCCTTTCCTAGGACACCTCTTCCCAGACTCAGCCTTGAGGCCCAGGGAGAGGCCTTGCTTGGTTGCCAGGGCAACGGCTCCATTGTTCCCTAGCGCCAGGCCCCTCAGCTCCTGGACCCAGCTCTCCCTACCATTCTTGCGCTGGTGGAGCTGTGGCGGGGCGGGGGCCCTTCTACTCCTCAGGGCTTCTTTGTCACCTCAGGAAGCAGAGGAGGGGGAGAGGCTGACTGGTCACCATGCCAACATCACACTGCCCACATGCCAGAGGGGGAAGGGGGAGGCAGAGAGTGCGGCCAGCTGTGCAGCAGTCTGAGAAGCAGTCCCCACGTCCCTTGGTCACTTGCCCAAGGGCGACCTGCCCCGCCACAAGCCCGAGGGGCCACTGAGGGAGAGGATTTCCCTAGCTGTCTGGTTTTCTCCCAGTGTGCTCCATGTTGCTTGGTTAAACAAAGCCTGGCTCTTGGTCTGTCTTCCACACGCTGTGGTTTCAGCCAACAGGCCAGTCCCCAGCTATGGAAAAGGAGCCCAGCCGTGCCCTGGCCGAGGCCGAGGACAGTGCCAACCCCATCACTCGTTCACTCACTCTGGCTCTCCCTGAGGTGACCGTGGCGACTCCATCTCGCAAGTCAGATGTTATTCAGACCCCTTCCCCGTGCCCCTGGCAGGATTTGGCATCCCCGCTGCAGAGAGATCTCCTTCTGCCCACACGGCGGCACCCTGACTATGGCCGTGTTCAGGGAGCCGGATTCTTCTTGACTGAAGTGGCACCCTGAGCGGAAGCTAAGGGAGGGGTGTCTCGCCCACTGCAGTGGCTTGGTCCGCGTTACAGTGAACAGACGCCCATTCGGCGTGGTTACTCGGTGCACCGTACCGGAAGACGGCCGCACACTCGTTCCTTCCTTCATTCGTGAGCTTGGTAAACAAGCACCACGGACTGCTGCATGCCAGGCACTGGTGACGGACTCTGGGGACATAAGGAGAAGACAAATGTCTACTTCCGTGTCCGGTGAGAGCCAAAGCCCGGGTGCTGGGAGGCGGCGCTCCAGGCAGGTCTGCCACCGCCCCAAAGCCAGAGGCCCTGACCACTCACCTCAACAGCACAAACCACCGGACCTGAGGTTGATCGCTGAAACTCGTCCAGTGCCAGCGTCACCTGCTTTTGGTCTTTCGGTGTCCCACCACCACCGTCTCGTTCTGTATCTCTATCCCACCTACTGTGATTTAACGACAGTTTTCCTTACACAGCCTCACTTACTAAGCTCTAAAAAACGTAAAGCAGAAACTTGACATCACTGTTGTGTATTTTATGTCATAAGCTACACTCGCCATAAACCAAACAGTGCTGTGAAATTCTAAGAAGATAAAGTTGCTGCCCAATTCTGACGCCCGCTGTCTGTACTTAGCAGGGGAATTAGCAGGTGGTAGTGAGGTGATGGGACCACGTGGGCACCACGTCGATTCTTTTTGCTGTGATTGAAAAGGTTCAGAAGAGAATTGGAGAGAGAGAGGCTGTCCTTGGCGGGCCACTGAATCTTAGACCCAGTGAGAGCCACCTAAGGCCACCTTCGGAGCCTGCTCGAGCCAGCAGCTTGACACACACTTGTGAGTCCTCCCCCTCCCTCCAGAGGTCACAGTCGGCTCCACAGAGAACAGGTTGAGGGCCCCTGGATGACTTCCCTGTGCAGTCCTCCGTGTGGTCCTCTGTGTGATCCTGTGCTTCAGTTAACAGCTGAAGCTGTTACGTGTCCTCTGTGAAGCCACCTGCCACTTCCAGATCAACACTGTTTGGTCTCTTCCTGCAGCCTCCACGCGTGCACTCCACACAGTCACCTCATCTCCCCTCCTAGGGGAGCCCCAAGGCCAGAGATTCCCCAGCATTCTTTGCTCAGCAGGGCCTCAGCCACTACAGTGACTCACAGCCGCCTCCTGGATTCTGTTGTTGGTTGGCTTTTGACATTTTTCCTTCTAAGCACATTATAAGAGGAAAAACAAGCAAGCTAGCATTATGCAGAGAAGTAAGATCTGAGCCTCCAGTTCTTGTTCTCCTCCCCACCACACACACACACACACACACACACACACACACACACACCCTGTTACTAGTGCCTGAGTGCCTGCCATCAGCACCTCATTCCTCTGTGTTGAAGTATTTATTGCAGGTAAAACAAAAAGCAGTTTAAGAAAAGAATTTTCTTATCATGCGTTCTGATTATATGAAATGTCCAAAATAGGCAGACATATAGAGGCAGAAAGTAGATTAGCGGTTTCCTAGGGCCAGGGGCAATGGGGGTTGGGGTAGTGGCTAGAGGATAGGGGAGGATGTTTAGTTTTTGAGGTATTGAACATGTTCTATAATTGATTGTAGTGATGGTTGTGCAATTACATGAATATCCTCAAAACCGCTAAATTGTACAATTTAAGTGGATGAATTATACGGTATGTGAATTATATCTTGATGAAACTGTTACCAAAATATGGGGGTGGGAAGGTTGGGGAAGGGGTAAGAGGAAGCGGAGAGGAGAGGGAGGAGGAGAGGAGCCTTCATCAATCCTGGCCGACTGGGGTCACAGTTGGAGCTGCGGGGCCCAGGTCTGCAGTGATGACTGGCTCACCCCAGGAGCCACAGCCTTTCCGGCCCCCAGGGCCCCCCAGGGCAGAGAACGCGGCCCCACCCCACTGCACTCCCCACTGGTGACAGAAGATGCCAGCTGGTGCCATCCCTTGCTGTGCCCTTATAGACCTGCCTCCCCTGCCCTTCCCACCAACCGTCTCCTGTTCCTCTCCCTGACCCCTTACTTTAATAATAATCAGAGCTGACATTTACTGAGTGCTGACTATGTGTTTGGAAAGTGTTCTTTGCTTAACACTTTGGTGAGGTCAGCGGCTCACAAACCTCACTAACGGAGTTACCCTTTGCCCCCATGCAGAAGGTGAGAATTGTGGTGTTTCATGGCTTCCCGTACTACTTCCGGTCCTTCTAGCACATCCTCCTTATAAAGCCAGGTCATCCACTGATAATCCACCCGCCTCCATTCCTCTACACAGCCCACAGGATCCCCTTTAACCCAACCTGCCTCGCAGATGTGCCCATCTGGCTCCTACGTGGGGTCCGTCCCGTGAAGACTAAGCAGACTCTGAGGGAAGTTGGCTGCTTCTAGCCCTCCAGGAGAGGTTTTTTTTTTTTAAATTAAAGATTGCAAACATACATGATAACAAGAAATGAAGATACTAAATAAAAATTTCAAATATACATATATATGACAGCAAAAAAAGGATATGAAATAAACAAGAATTTATAGAACACAGACTAGTCGAAATATATTAGTTTGATATGATCTTCAAACATTATGTTCTTTCTCATTTTCTTATAATATTTTTGAAATAATGTAATTATAAATAAAACAAAATTACATATTATAGTTGAGAAACTGTCCTCAAAATTTTATGATTTATAAACTCCTTGGTTTTATTAATTGATAAATATCATATACTTGTTGATTGTACCACTTACATTTTCTAACAAAACTTCCCACAGAAAAAAATATATTTGTAATCCAAAAGCAACTAAAAAAAATTCACATTTTTAAGATCAGATTTTTGTTTCTATTTTATTATATCCCATACTTATTATATTTCTATAAGCATAATGATAGAACTTAACACCAATAGATATGTAATATCCTTCCCAAACAAATGACTATGAATTAAGTCAAGCATGTAATTTAAAGAAATCATAAGGTTGCCAAAAAGCTTTGTTTCCATTTACAAAAAAAATTCACATTTTTAAGATCAGATTTTTGTTTCTATTTTATTATATCCCATACTTATTATATTTCTATAAGCATAATGATAGAACTTAACACCAATAGATATGTAATATCCTTCCCAAACAAATGACTATGAATTAAGTCAAGCATGTAATTTAAAGAAATCATAAGGTTGCCAAAAAGCTTTGTTTCCATTTACTTCTTTTGGGGGGGTACCAGGGATTGAACTCGGGGCCTTGCACTTGCAAGGCAGAACACTGAACCCACTGAGCTAAATCCCCAGCCTCCAGGAGGGTTTAAAGTAACACAGTGATAAGCTCAGGGCTTCAGATGCATGATTCACAATTCAGACGCCAGGGTGAAAAGGGAGAGAACGGATGGGAGGGGAAGGGAGGGGATCAGTCCCTCTCAAAAGCACATTGTTGCAGGATAGTATGTTTATTGGAAATGATGCTAGAAAATGCTGCTGCTGAAATGCACCCCCAGGATTTAACAAAGATAATAAGAGCCCAGCAGCACTGGCTACGTAGCAACACTCAGTGACCACAAATAAAGTGAACAGAGAAGACAGTGTGGCCTGGGTGGGAGTCAGAATGAATTGGCGTTGGGGATCCCTTGATCATGGCTACCAAGAACTAAAGTAGAGGGGGTACTGCAATAAGATACTACTGGTCTGTAAAAAAAATTCTAGAGCTCCAGAGATCTGAGAAATAGTCTGAGGACATCAGAAGGCCGTAAGCTTTCACTGAATTCCCAAAACTAAGTAAGGTGAAGAGAAAAACTGGACTCTGCCCCATAGGACATTGCAAGTTTATACTGTAAACGTTCCCTGCGATTTTCTCCCAAGGGAATCAGGGTCATTCAGTGCAATGACTGCGTGCTGGCAAAAGAGAAAGACCAGGCTTTGGGGGTCTTACTACTGACTCTGAGACAATCCAAATCCCCGGGTATGGGTTGAGTGGGAATTAACAGGAATCAGGAAATAAATGGACTTTTGACTCCATTTCACAGTGAGCTAAGTACATTCATATCCACTCTGAAGTTATATATCCAAGCCCTGGATGTTCAGTTGGAATACATATATATGCGCACACACACACACACACACACACACACACACACACGCACATTTTTTTCTTCTACTTCTTCAGTGCTAGGTAGAATCTCCATATTGGGTTCCTGCCTTTTGGATTAAAGATCGTTGTGACTGGAAGGACCAAACAAAAACTCCTGGGTAAGTTAATTCCTAATAAAGTAGTAAACAAAACCAGTGCAAGGCTTTCAGAAGAATCACCAAGATTAGTTTCACCACAGAGAAGAAAAAAAAAAATTGATGACCCAGTGTTGTGCTGGAATCAGCTCATACAGACTTATGAGACTTAGCATTGTTATGACTTATGCATGAGAGTTTTTGTTGCGGCTGTGTCTAGATGTCCCCCAAAATTGTCATGCAGTCATAGGTGGGGCTTTTTCAGAGGTGGCTGGATCTAGAGTATGTGACACTGAATTGATTCAATGTGCAGCTGGGTGTGATGGTGCACGCCTGTAATCCCAGCACTCAGGAGGCTGAGGCAGGAGGATTGCTGTGAGTTTGAGACCAGCCTGAGCTACATAGTGAGTTCCAGGTCAGTCTCAAGTATATAGTGAGACCCTGTCTCAAAAAACAAAAAAACAAACTGTGTAATGCGAGGCTCAAGGTCACTATGGTCAAGGGTGCAAAGTACTACCCACTCTAAGTATCCCAGATAAGAGACAAGGGATAGAAGAGCTCCGGTCATCCCTTGTTGTTTTGCTGCCTTCTGCCCACCATACACTGTTTTTCTCCTATGATACCTATCTACCATGTCCTGCCTTGGAGCCAGCCAGCAATGGACTGATACCTCTGCAAACTGTGAGCCAAACAAATCTTTCCTCCTTTAACTTAGGGTGTCAGGTAATTTGTCTCAGCAATAAGAAAAGTAAGGCAGCTGTTATCACAAGTTCTTTAACATTACCTCCTCACCTTC